AGTTATGTAATTTTCGATTAGCGTTCGTTCAAAAATAGAATATCAAAACAAATATTTTAGTCATATTCTGCATTTTTATTTTTGCAAAGAGAACAAGTCTTGACAAAGGTTGGGTGCTGTTTATGGTGCCTGGTTGGTGTTTAGAAAATACCTTTGTTGAAATCGCTTTGGATAATGCCATTCTGGTGATTTTTCACTCAATGCTGCTCTAATTATCCAGTTAAAGTTTTGGACAACCCAATTAAAGCAGTAATCGATTCGGCTAATAAATACAATTTGGCTATGTTTAAAAATTATTGGGGCTTTTTTTTCACATCTACCAAATATTGCAGACCACGAACCATCAGTATAAATCCTTGAATTAAAAAAAAAAATCATGAAGGTGTTAAATTGTGCCTAATTTACTTTTTGATAATAAAAACTAGTAGTTGGGACAATGATGCTTCTTGGAAGATAACAATAGGTCATCGATCAAAATGGTATAGGGTAGGGCGGGGCTAGTTGAGCATATTTTTACTTAAACGGTTGTAGCTCCTCAATGAAAAGTCTCAATAAATTGCTATACGGCTTAATGGATTTTTTGTTTATCGCTTAACAAAAGTGTTATTTTTTGGTAATAAGTAAAATTTAAAAGCTACAGCTGTTCAAATGCAAAAAGTCAAGTATGCTCAATGTACCCCATAGGTGGGGCAAGTTGAGCAGTAAGAAAGTATAATGAAATCGTAGGTTCAATGTCGATTGGTGATGAAATAAATAAGTTTTTAATAACCAGTTCTATATTTATAGTCTTTATTGACAGAGAAAACAAAACTTATAGTAATTTGCTTTGAATAATTAACGAAAACTAGAATCAACAAACAATATCGTATCTTAGAAATTATTTTACCATCATATTCAGTATTTTTGTTTAAAATCATTATTTCTTTATATTATTACTCATAGACTTAGATTAAATCTTAAAAATAATAATTAATTTCTGCAAGTTAATGGTAATTGTCTTAGAGACAGAACAAGTTTAGCAACTATGCTCAACTAACCCCAACTTGGAATTTCAAAATAAAAGTGAGTTTATAAAAAAACCGTGAGCTTTATACCCAGAATCTCTGTGCATATTAAAAGTACTATAATTATATGGAAGAATAGCATTTACCTGATTAAAAATAAATAACACTTGACTAAACCAGACAAAAACTCGCGATGAATTACTTTTTTACTTTCTGGTCTCAAAATAAACAAAACGCCCTTGAGCCTCACTCATTTGTCCATCGGCTACTAGCGATCGCGGGATATTTATTTCTCCCAAACCTCTATCTTTCCGCCATATAATGCCTAAATGGACGTTGAATAGTTTTTGAGATATTTCGATTGCTCAACTTGCCCCTATGCTCAACTAGCCCCGCTCTACCCTACAGAACAAAGTTATTTAATTCCGAAATTTTACTTATGATGTTTAATAACAATTCAATAGTGATTTTATATTGAAAGACATTTTTTAGGAACAAAAAGAATTGTATAGAGGGCACAAAGTTTTTATAAACCTCAAGGTGGGGCGCGGCTCAAAAAAGGTTGGGAATCACTGCTGTAAATCGATATGACACTTAAAAAAACTAGATTATATTTATCTAAATCCTAAGTTTTAAATTAACGCTTTTAATAACTTTTCAATTATTTTATGTTTAGAAATTGTTGACATTTTTAACGTTGACTTGTATTAAATTCCCATAAAAAATATGATTACATATGAAAGGTGGTGGTTCACGTCAGAAGGAACTGGCAATATCTAAATTCAATTTTCTAAGAGTGCTTCAATCTTCTATTTAATTTGAAACATCATTTGATTTAATATGTTTTTTTAATAACACAATAAGTTGTCAATAAAAAGATTCTAAAAAAGTTATATTGCTGCTACTAGCTTATACACGCGTTTCCCATGTTCAAAGTCACTCAGAAGTTGAGTGGTTATGTTCATGATTATGTAACGTACAATAAAGCGTTTAGAGGTGAAATTTCTTTATGTTCAAGACTTTTCACCAAACTATAAACTATTAACTAAAATTACTTTTTACTCAAGTAATGAACTAGGCGTCGAATTTCGAGAAACCCGTGAACAACCAGAAAAAGAAGAAATACAAATAAGATATTGCTTAAGTCTAATACAGATGTGTATCCACATAAAAGGTGACAAATTGAATATCGTATAAAAAACTAGTGGTGTATGGCATCGTGCCTTAAGGCAAATTGCTGGAACTTCCCGTACCGTAACAAAATGTTCGAGGAATATTAAATGTCTTCAAATGGATTAATATAAATACTGTCACATTGTATAATATTTATAAGAATTATATAAACTGAATCACAAAATCGAAAATATTTATTTAAACTAGATATACCACGCCAGTCGAAATGACTGGTTGGGCACTTTCAATTCAAAATTTCCATTATATATAAAATTTGTTTTGTGAAATGAAGTTATGACATGCGTTTATCGCCTACTCTCTTATCGACGACAATGTATATTATTTATTATTTATTCTTTATTACTTTGTAAAAATGCAGATTGCTGAACTATTACTAGATTTTTACCAACAAAACATTTGTTTCGAGCTTCGTTCAACACATTGAAGAAAATTTTATTCAAAGTGATTTACAAGTATAATTAATTATTCTTTTTGTACACTGATACAAAATAATACTGAGGCATCGCTACTATCGACTGTAGAGATGGGAAAACTTGGTGATAAAGATACAGATGGATCAAGTACGATAGTAAATTGATAGATATCACAAACAAACGTATGAGGCGATGCGACCCACTTTCATCCAATTCTGAAAACGAATTTGGAAATAACGCATCATATCAGAAAACTAAAATTGGTTCGGACGAAACTATTTAGACAAGAGTTGTAGTAAAGTGAAATAGGTTTTGCAGGTAGATTAGAAGTTTAAACGAAAAACATATACCATGAAGGGTGTAAATGCAATAACCGATATTATTTTTACAATTATTCATTTGGCATTAAAATTAAAATCTAAAAATAAAAAGCGCAAACAAGTGGTAGCTGCCGGACACTTTTATTGAGTATTGTACTAAAGTACTGTAAAAACTATTAAAAATCAATATTTTTTATTATTTGACAATACCTATAAGTTTCAATCAATATTTTTTATTATTTGACAATACCTATAAGTTTATTTATCAGCTATAATTAGTTTTCAACTTAAAATCACGCACGTTTTCTTAGAGACAAGTCATTTTGACTGGTGTTGGTAGAAATAGATATATTCAAATGGGTGATATATCTAGTGTTAAAGTGAAGTAAAATGAGCTTTAAAACTTTAGCCAGAATTAAAATTGAAATCTAAATTATTCTCGATATCAAAAAAAAAATGAAATAATTTTTTTTTTCAAAAGCAATTGTTTTGTCAACACAAGCAAAAAGTTTTTTTTAATCATTCAATTCGGATGCTTATTTCTCTGAAAAAACTGCCATTTTTTGTATATTTAGCTTATTTTGTATTTTTATCTTCGAAATGGCTAGGCCTGCCTTCGCCAATACTTAATAGCCATTTTTCCCAATCATTACTAATTGAATGTTTTTTAGATCATTCAAATCGGAAGCTCCGTTCTCTCAAAAACTCGATTTCTATTTTCTGCACTTTTTGCTCTTTATCTCCGTAACGGCTGGACCTGCCTTTGCCAAAAACTAATCAGCACATCTCCCTATCAATAGGAATCGAATGTTTTTTGAACCATTGAAATCGGTTAATTCGTGCGCCCGAAAACGTGAACGAAAAAATGCGGGCACACAAAACACATACACACACATCCATTTTTTCTGAGGTATGCCAAAATGTTCATAAACCTTCAAAACGTCGAGAAATGCAAAATATTTTATTTTCAACTTTCGGCCCATTACTATAACTACGCTACGGGAAGTTAGTAAAACCACCAAAATAGTCTAAATGCAAAAAATATGCGTGCGGAATATGTTTATTGAACGCACTTAAATGTAAACTAGCTGTAAGTGGAATTCTGTCTTAAGGCAATTAAGGCATCGTGCCTTAAGGCAAATTGCTGGAACTTCCCGTACCAAAAATTAATATTTTTTTAAAAACGATTCACATTTTTGAAAAAAATTTACTTAGAAAAAATAAGATTTTTGAGAAACTATAAATTGGACAAAAAATTACTTTTTTTGAAAAAAAAATTTAAAAAAAAAAAAAATTTATTTTTTAATTTTTTTTCTTTATTTTGACATATTGTGGAAGATCTGAACTTTCTTTTCAAAGCAATCGTACTGCTTTAACTGCATAAGGACAAAATATTAGGTTGTCAAATATCTCCCTTCCGCTTTTTTGCTATTGGTTTATAATACAAAAAGGCGGAAGGGAGATATTTGACAACCTTATATAAAGCGCGTAAGCCACGCGTCAATGTCTAACGCATAAGCATTGGTACGGAACCCATAGGAATGTTAACAAAATGTATACTTATTGTTAAAATCTCTATAAAATATCTGATAATTTGATGTGCATATTTATCAATACGAATCGAATGTTTTTTGAATTATTCAAATCGGTTGATCCGTGTTCCCGAAATCGTCGACGAAAATTTGTATCCGCACATACATACACACACATACATACATACATACATACATACATACATACATACATACATACACACACACACACACACACACACATACATCCATTTTTTCTAAGGTATGCCAAAATGTTCAGAAACCTCTGAAACGTAAAGATATATAAAAATTTTCATTTTTGATTTTTTTGCGATTACTATAACTTGCCCTACGGGAAGTTAAAAATGCGATGAGCAATGATTGATAAATTTGTATCTATTGCGTTTATGAAAGAAAATACGTTTTTTAATTATAATAAATTGTATTTTCAGATCTATTTCCAATATAACATCCTTACTTCATATACTCAAGCAGGTCATTTGACCCGCTAGACTAAAAATTGTGGTATGATTATTGTTAAATACGAATGTGGAACGTATTTAAGAAGTCAGGTGCTCTAGTAATAACATGTTCAAATTCCATATAAGACAATTTTCCGTCGCCATCAACATCTGCTTCCTCAACTACCTTTCCGGCAATTTGTGCCAATTCGTCCTGGGACAATTCTTGCGAATCACGGGTCAAGAGGCGCAGAGCTGCACGGAGGTCACTCGGACCTATTAGGTCATCTCCATCAAAATCTAAATAGAGAATATATAATTTAGAGTCATACATATGTGCCAAATAATCGTTAATAATAGTTTAGACATAGCTCTCTTGAGACAGGACATACTTAACAAATAGTTTTAATACAGTTCCTTATTACGTCCTACAATTTTATTTCAATTATTTTTATCCAAACCACATAGTTCTTTGATGTAAGCAAATCAAAGATTGGTAATTCTACTTTTGTAATTATGATAAGACTGTACATTTTCAAACTTAGCTTGAATGTAAATTTTAATCAGCACATATGAGTTCCATTCAGCAAACATTCAATAAGTATTGAAAATCGTAACTCGTTTATGTAATAATTTTAAGATAAATTATTATGTTTTAATTTAATTTTAGTGTATAATATATGTAATTGCCTTTTAGGGTTTGTTTTATTCTACATAGATAAACATTGCATTATTTGAACTTTGCACTTTTCCAAAATTTTGACTAAATAATCGAATATTTCATTTTACAGAATTCAAATTATAACTAGTTGGTATTGGTATTTTGCCTTGAGGCAAGTTACATGAACTTCCCGATAATATAAAAATAAATTCCGAGTGGATTCATTATACATGACTGAAAACGAACAAACACGTTTACTCTGAGTATTTTCTAAAAGCAAATTTTAAAAAATCAACAACTTTTATATTTGATCCAGTTTCCGTATGAGTTTAATGGTTTAGTATGTTTATTAATACTAAGTACTCTATAGTTATACCAAGTAAATCGTCTAATTTTAATTTTAACAAACGTTAAAAAAACTACTCATGTTTTGAAACTTTGATGAATTTTTAAAATTAAACTACTTGTCGAAAGGCCGAAATGTTTCAGTAAGTTTTATAAGATCGTGATATATATCGCTAAAAAAAGTTCCATAAAAATCGGATTATTTTATTTTCAACAGTTAATTACTAATCAGTATCATTCCCAAATAATATCTTCCGAACAGTTTTTGATTTTTTAAAATCGATTCGGTAGTATTAGTTTAAATGTGGACGAAAAGTTTAACATTTTTTTTCAAATTACAAAGAAACGGCTTGGCAGATCGTCGCACAAAACTGACAAACGATAGTCCTCATCGAGATAGATCAAATGGCTTTTAAATTTCTGAAATCGGTTCAGGCATTTTTGAGAAAACATCGATGAAAGGTCTAATTTTGACAAATGCAAAAAAAAACGATACTAATTTTTGCAAACTTTGACGAATTTTTAAAGCTAAACCAGTTGTCGTAGAGCCTTAATATTTTAGTATGGTCTAGAAGACTATAGTATCTACCGTCAAAAAAATAATAATAATAATTGTCAAAAAATTTTTTAACACTTTATTACAAGAAAACGGTCCGGCCGATCTCTACCAACAACTCATCAGCACGATTCCCAATCAATATCTTTCGAACGGTTTTTGAATTTTCAAGATCGATTCAGAACTGCGGGCTAAAACGTGGACGAAAATTTTTTCACTTTTCTGCTATTTACAAAGAAACGGCTTAGCTGATCGTCGCGCAAAATTGATAAACGCTAGTCCTCATCGAGATACATCGAATGGCTTTTGAATTTTTGAAATCGGTCCAGCCATTTTTGAGAAAACGTCGATTTACGGCAAAAAATCTGTTCACACACACACACATACACACACACATACTTTTTCCAACTTTGGTCTCATTCGACTCAGAATGGCTTTGCGAACTTGATGATTTTTAACTGAATACGATCTCACGTATTATTATTTAGCAAACCCTGGAGCACTAGTGTACTATTGACACATCTTTGCTCTCGGTCAATTTCATCTGGCTTTAACATCATTTTTACATTTTCTGAAGTAAAACAGTAAAATCTGCCAAAACACTGCTTATTGCTTTTCATATTTAAAAGGATACCATTCAAAAATATATTTATTTATTATATATTTATTATATATTTGATTGGGATGTTTTACACACAAACCTTAATATACAAGCTTTTAAATAATTTAATAAGTATAAGGATCTTGGATTCAAAACATACAATTAAATCCTAAGTCGTAAAAAACGAAATTGCTTTCCATACAACCTTAGTAATTGTTAATAACTAAGAGTAAACGAGGACATAATGTTACGAATTTATATATGGTGATATTTATCGAATTTCATAGGACAGATTTGACAGATAAAATGCAATCAGAGGAAACTAAAACAAAATTGCATGTTTTGATCTTATCAAAATTATTAACTTGTTTTCATAAATTTTCAAAATTCTAAAAAAAATGTCTGACAATAACATCAATAGTTTTAATTGCTCAATGCATAAAGATCTGAATTCTTGTGAATGCGAAGTGCGACATTTACTTAATGAGATCCAGAATTATGTCATTCAGACTAATGTATATCTGCAGCAAGCTGATCGCAAGGTCAAAAACTGTATAGAGCACCACGTTGTTGATTATAAGGAAAGTACGGAGGATGAAAACCGTTCTATGGAGCTGCAAATGGAAGTCGCTGTAAATCAGGAGAATGGGAATAAGAATGAGGAAGATAACAATAGTGAAGATAAGAACAATGAAGATAAAAATGGTAAAGATCAGAACGATAAAGATAAAAACGTTGAAGGTAAAAATGTTGAGGATCAGAACGATAAAGATAAAAACGTTGAAGATAAGAATAAGAACTGAAGAGAAGAAGACACAAAGGAAGAAGAATGTTGAGTATGACGAAAATCAGGAGTAAAACACTGCACTAGTTAGAAAAAAAACCTGAATAACAAGAATGTGTGCAAAATCGATAAAAATTTATATATAAACCTTATATACATTATTTGAATTTAAAAATCAAATTATTTAATTTGAATTGAAATCTCAAACATGCGATCAAGTTTTTATACTGCCACAGAGAACTAAAATATCTCTTGATATAATATAAATGATTTTTTAAATTTTAGGGGCTTTATTACATTCCGAGAATCACACTATTTGTTATATACTTTACACATAAATTTTAAAACCTGTAAATTTAAATAGAGCACGTATATGTAATGTTATATCAATCAAAAAATATAAATAAATGCATTGTTGCTAGCTTCACATATTAACTCAATATGGTTGTTGTTTATATCTAATTTTAGTTTAATTTTTAAAATTAAATATATAATTCAGTTTTATAAATAAGACTTTTATGCAACGCATTTGTTTATTGGTTGTGGTTTTTGTATTTTTAAATACATAATTTGTGCGTTTTGTCCTCTGACTAAGAGTCAAATTGTGTCTCTAAACCTATGGAAGATGTTTTTAAATTAAGCATAACTTAGTTATTTCATTTTAAAAATTTACTGTATTCCTGCATAAAAAACGCATGTTTGTATGTATATATATATATATATATATATATATATATATATATACCATATAGGTGAAGCAAAAACAAAATCTTTATTTTTGCAATACATAGTTGACTTTAATTATCTGTAATTCGCGTTGTATAAGTCCAATTAGGTTCTACCCCTGGGCGTTAGAAACATAAGGTTTAGCGCTAAAAAAACGTTTCTAACAATACTGTAATTGATTGATTCACTTTTGTTGAGCACGCGTCAAAAATGGACACTAGCAAAGAGAAAATACACTGTTTAGGCGGTCTGTTTTATAAAGACAAAAATGCAAGTCAGGTGGCTGAATATGTAAACAGTATTTATGGTCCTAAACAGTAAATTACACGCAATTTTGGTATAGATTCATTCGGATAATTTCCATGTCAAAGTCTTATTTGCACTGGAAGCTAAATTGTCAAAAACGTCGACCGAATCATGGCGTCCAGACGTCATGTAAGTCGATTTCGATTGCCCAAAGGCTAAAGACTGTACAAACAACCGTTAGGCATCATTTGAATAAAGCTAGATACAAAAAAACTTGATGTATGGGTGCCACATGAAAACCTAATAGACCGAATTTACGTCTGCGAATCGCTGCTGAATCGCAAGAAGATTGCCCCATTTTTAAAGCGGTTGGTGACGGGTGATGAAAAGTGGATCACTTACTGCGACGTGAGCTGATCTCCGTTGGTAAAATTGTTAACTCTGTCAACAATCGGTTAGTAAAACTCGGAATTGTACTGTCAACAATTGAACCTTCTAAGTAAAAAAATCTCCCAGAAACGGCGAGCCTTAGCCAATAGTAGATGGAATTGTGTTCCATCAGAACAACGCCTGGCAACACACATTTATGAGTCTCGCCAGAAGCTCCGAGAGCTGGATGGGGTGGTGGTTTATATTCATCTATTTTGAAGTTCGGACCCGGCATAAAGCAATTACCATCTGTTCTTATCTATGACGAGTAGTTTTGCTGTTGAAAATTTCACTTCAATGGAGGCATGTAAAAATCGACTATGTCAATTTTTTGCTAATAGGTACGAAAGCTTATATGAGAGAGGCATAGGGGAGAGATATATTCATTTTGAGATATTACTCTCAAAATGAAAACATGTTATCATACAAAACGGCTCATAATTGACCTAAATCGGATCATTCTAACTATAGTAATTAAACTTGTAATTTCATGCAAAAATAATGGATTTCTGTTTACATATATATATATGTATATATATATATATATATATATATATACTAGCTGACCCGACAGACGTTGTTCTGTACCCACGTCTACAATTTTTCAATATTTTATACTAATATTTACTGCTTAGTTAAAAATAATAATTATTGTTTTTTTAATTACTATTTACACCAATATATGAGTGATGTTGAATGTAGAACTGTTTCAAATAAAATGATTGTTCTCAATTCCCACAGTTAACACTTTAATTATTCATTTAAAAAATATTAAAAAATGTTCAATAAAATTGTATATTAAAAATTATACACTGCGATTTATAAAACAAATTTATTTCCAATAGCTCAATTTATTTTATTGCATTTAAGGGTTATATAGTATTTTTAGTCATACCTGTAGATGTGGATGTATAAATGAATGATTTTTTCTTTATTCACGACTAAAACATTG